AGAGTTCCCATATACCCTCATCCAACTCCCCTTTATAACCTTTGTCAAAACTAAGAAATCCAAATTGGCACATTACTATTAACTAAACCCCAGAAGTCACATTGACTTTAAAAAAAATATCAGCAGGAAGAAATGTGTAAAAATCAAAGTATCAAAACACCGTTTGATCTTTATTTAAAAACAAGATAACTCCTTTATTTTCCCTTCCATTCTAAATGAAAGCTTTGCTGGATAGATCAATCTTGGTTGTAGGTCTTTGGATTTCATGACTTGGAATACTTCTTTCCAGCTCCTTGTTGCCTGTAAGGTCTCTTTTGAGAAATCAGCTGACAGTCTGATGGGAACTCCTTTGTAGGTGACTGTCCCCTTATCTCTTGCTGCTTCTAGGATTCTCTCCTTCATTTTAATCTTGGCTAATGTAATTATGATGTGCCTTGGTGTCAAATTCAAGGAGTTCATCCTCACCAAGCCCTTATTATATGAAATGTTAAAGGGACTTATCTAAGAAAAAAAAGATAAACAGTAAAAGGACAGCAAACTCACAGTTATTAAGAACCACACCTAAAACAAAAGCAAACTAAGAGAACAGCTAGATCAGGAGAGAACCATAAAGATCACATGGAGGGTTAGCAACAGGGGAGTGGGAGAAGGAGGAGGGGGGAGAAGGTACAGAAAATAAGTAGCATAGACGGTAGGTAGAAAATAGATAGGGGGGAGGGCAAGAATAGTATGGGAAATATAGAATCTAAAGAACTTGAGACACGTGGTCATAAACTAAAGGGGGGAATGGTGGGGGAGGGGTGTGCAGAGTGGAGGGAAATGAAGGGGGAAATAGAACAACTGTAATGGCATAATCAATAAAATATATTTAAAAAAAAACAAGATAACTCCTATCTTGGAGAGAAGAGTGGTAGGAACAAAGGGTGCAAGAGACAAAGGGATGATGTCAACTTAGGAACTCAGCTTTGCAGCATGGACACAGAAGAATTTTTACTACTCAAGTCGGATCAAAACCTACTTCCTTGAAGCCTTCCCCATCTTGCCCAGTAGTTTCCATTCTAACACCGGAGAATGAACCTCTCTAGCCCTTTCCACATTGCATTGCCTGGCACTAAGAGTTACTCAACTGCTAGCTGAAGAAGGAAAGAGACATGAACATTCAAGGAGCAATTATTACAGCTTTCCCTCCCTTGCTTCTTGCTACCCACCATCTGTGTTAGCTAATGTGCTTTCTGAAGGGCCGTACAAACGTTTTATGCATGAAGAGTTTGCATTTCCCTTTGAATTATTGGAAGGGAGCTATGTATCTCTAAAGGTATATAGTTTAAGAATCATCATGGATAATATATCTTAGGATATTTAGGGAAAGCTATTCTTGCTCTCAAATGCATTCAGTGGGAATTGGGTTTACTTAGTTAACTGCTGACTTTCAATGAATATAATTTGAGCAGTTGCCATATATTGGCGCAGTTCTGGGTGTGCTCTGAGGGCCACTCCTACGGGAACACTGATGCACAGGTGTTCCTGCCTCTCTGTCTGTAAGACTCTTAAGTTCCTTTATGATAGGCACTGAGAGAAGTGTGTTTTAATCTCTCTCATGCTTGTATTTTCCATGCCTGAAATAGTCACCTAATATCTAGTAGATGCTCAACAGTTATTGAGTCATTAATGGACAAGTAATTATTGGATAGATAGATGGATGAATGAATGAATAAATGGGTTAATAGATGAATAATTCTTAATCACTGCTCTTAAGGGGATTACACTGTACAGAGAGGCATAGAGAAACACACAAATAATCAGAATGCACAGTGGGATGAAGCAAGTACCATGAGAGGTGAACATGCTAAAGGAGAAAAGTGCTGTTTAGTTTCGGGTGAGAATGCAATACCTGGGAAAGTAAGCAGAGGCCAGTGGTCCTTGAGGTGGTCCAGAAAAGATGGATGGAATGTGGCGACCAGGAGTGGGATGGGGAATAAGTGAAGACATCCCAGCCTGGGGGCACAGAGTGAAGGAGTACAGCGAGGTGGGAGGGAAATTATTAACAAAGAGTTTAGTTTTCGATAGCTTAAATGGCACTTGTAGGTAAGTAAGGGGGAAAAAAAACCAAATTTCACAGCCTGGGTCTACATAATGGGCATCCTTGAATTGGAAGAGGACTTGCTCATTTGGAAGTGATAACAGATACAGACAAATCCCAGGGAGAACCTGGCTTGGGTGGAGCAGTAAGATCGGTTTGTGTCAGCACATCTTCCAAAAGCATAATTGGTCTAAGGAAGAGATTGGAACTGCAGGAAAGAGAAAAGAACTTGTGATAATATGATGATATAATTTATCATTAAGTTTTGCAGTGAGAAATCAGAATTTCCTTATGTTTGTAATCTAGGAGTCTATACCATGTTTAAATTGCCATATCTGTACTGCCAATAAAATGCAAAGAACACCACTAAAGCAGTTTTGTTAAATAAGCAATGAAAATAGCAGTAGCTTTTGAACTTAATGCTTTTTCTTTATATGTTACATTAAACGTTATATATCAAGCTGGCCTGAGGTTTTTGAACAGAAGCTGAATAGTCTATGCTCCTCACTATTAGGAGTGAAAAACCTGCTGAAATGCATTAAAACTACTCAAGAGATTCAAAGGATAAAATATGAGCTTCTTGTGGGGGCAAAGCATTCTTAGTTACAGCAAAAAGATCACCCATGAGCAACACATTAATGCCCTTTATTTCAAAACTTTCTGTTGCAGTGGAGTAATTCTTTGTGCTTCTATGAAAATCTTCTTGTGGAAAAAAACACATTGAACCACTTCACTGGGTGGTTCCTGTTCATTTCAGTTTACAGGGACCTTCTGCTGCTCTGGCTGGGTGTCTCAGTGACTAACTCCATGTGTGAGTGGTAAAAACCCCTCAGTTCCCAGCACCAGGCTTCCCGGGTATAAAGACAGAGGCTCTCATAGTAATTACTGGAGGTGCTGTGTTTGCACATCTGTGCTTGGTTCTCCGAATTGACTTTCAGGCCAGAGTCAGGCAACCCTCCACCCCCTTTATTTTCACTGTCACATCATTAAAGGAAATGAGATTATGGCACAAATCATCATTCACGTGACTGCAGGATAGAAGGTTATCGAGATATTACAGAAATAATTCTGTAGCCGCCATGGCCTCTGACAATAATTACAATGCGACCACAGGGGATCACCTTCTAATAGGCTTTTGTTCAGTCAATTCAGAGTCTGTTGTGTGCTCTGAGTTTGGATAATTAAAGTTGTGTCCCGGAAGCCACATGTGGTAGCTCATAATTATGTAGTAGAGTCTAAGAGGAAACTGAGGTGACTGACACCCGTGCTGGAGTGGGGACCGGGGACCTGGTGACAAGAAAGAAAGAAACCAGTCGCTCATTTGGGAACAGGGGATGGTGTTCACTCCACAGCCTCCACTGCTTTATTTATTTTAAAACAAAAATGAGTAATTATAGTCCTTCCTTGTCCAATCCCTCATCCTCCAGAGGGACTCTCTAACCTTTTCCTATTGCCTCCAACAAAAGAATGGTAGCTGACTTGGGCAATGAAGAAAATACAAATGACTTATTTAAATACCATGATGGTTTAATTAGTTAATCATTTGCATGCTGAGTGATTTGCATACAAGCAGGAAAAGGCCCACGTTGGAATTTGGCCCCTTTCTCCCCCTGATCCTCACTGGAGAAAAGATCTCAAAACTTGGCCTCATTTAAGCTCTTGAATTTTAAAGAAATGTGAACTTTGGAAAGCTTAGATTTGTTATTTCAAGGACACACTATTACAAAGGAAAACAAACCCAAAGACCGTATCCCTCTGGGCTATATTTCCCAAGTCAGTCCATGGCTGTCAGAGAAGCAGAGATTTTCCCTGTGCAGCATGTGCTTGGAAGGCCATTTTCCAGAGCATGACAGGCAGGGTGCTTTGGACAGTGGGTGCCTCCTCACCATTCTAAGACTGGGTCCCAAGATTTTCCAGATTGGACATGTAAGAGATAGCTCTTATACCATTCTGTTTAAAATGTGGAATATTAGTTCAAGACACCTTTTCCTTCAATCTTCAGACTGTTTAGTGATTCTTGAAATATACTTCCAAAGGGCTTTCAATTTCTGAGGCTTAAAAGTAGAATTCTGCTTTATTTTAATATAAGACATCCTTTCCTCCAAGTTTAGCCAGGTAGAGAACAAACCCTGTCATTCTTTCAAACACTGGAGTCTCTTTTGAAGCACAGTAAATTTATTCTTCACCCAATGCGAGAACAACAATTGATATTCAAAATGCTGCCCTTTCCTAAGGCTTTGGCTTCATGAAAATGAACCATATTTTGTACCGAGCACCATATGGTGTTTGTGAAGAGTGGACACGCAGATGCTTCCTAATTAAAGCTTTAAAGTTTGTCATGAGAAATGGCAGCCACAGATGATTCTGGCTGGGCGGCCCGAGTATGGGAGGGGTAGGTGGGGAGAGATCCCGGAGAGTGGGTGAAGTGGTAGGCTGACGCCCAGCTCTTTCAAACGCACTCTCTGATTGGTCCTCGGGGAACAGATAATGGCAAGAGGCAGTTAATTTGAAGATAATTGAGGGATTTCTTTCCTGTCTCCACACAATAAAATAAGGTGTCTGGGCCTCAGCTGGCACTTGCATTCTGGCAGGAAGAAGAGGGCCCAGAATGGGTCTGCAAAAGCTGCCACCTCATTGTCACTCTCACACAAGGCTGGGAAACCCCTTTCCTGGCCTCCAAAACCCTCCCCCAGCTCACAGTTCCAGCCGCACACCCAGGTTTATTGTTTCAACACGTCAGACCATAAATAAGAGTTCCCAACACAAGAGGATATTAGAGGGCCAGGCAGGGTTTGCTCTTCTGCAAAACAAGGGCCGTGCCTCCAAACACACAGGCTCACCAACCAGCCAGAAATGGAGCAGGTTTGCTTCCAAAAGGTGAACTTGTTTTCTGATTTTTTTTTGTCTTTCTCAGCATCCTTGGTATTATGTGCAAATCTGTGCAAACCACTGAAGTCCTGGAATACTAAGGGACTTTCTCGGTATATTTTACACACTCATCTGCACACGTTTGTGAAGACAGTAAATATCAACCAGGTATGAGGAATGGTCTTAAAACAGCTTCCACAATTGCCTTAGTAAACCCCATTAAAGGGGAAGAGAAGAATCATAACAAGTAAAGGGCCTTCCCAACCCCCCCGACCCCCTCACCCCCACCCGCACCCTGGGACCCTGCCCTCTGTCCTCCCTGCCTTTCCAGCTCTTTTTAATTCTCTTTTAGGGCAGCTTGCTTGTAAATTCTAGGAAAACCTAAACCAAGTATGTGGAAAAATAATCTAATTTCCTCTTTTAATACATACACATGAAGAATGACTGGAAATTGGGATTACGTAAGTGTGAAAAAGAATGTCACTCTTTCTCAGCACTGGAAAACTTAACGGTGACAAGCTTATGGGTATACCAATGATAAAGAATTTTTTTTAAAAAGTGAAAAAAACCAGATTTATTTTTCATCAGTAAAGCCCTAAGAAAAACAGTTGAGGGAGTGGGCACCCAGGCAAAGAGAGTGGGGGGAAACCCGAATGAGAAAGCCAGTCGGGGACGCCAAGTTAGGTGATTAACACAGGATGGCTGGGGGGTCATTAAAGGTCACTACACAGCTGGATTTGCTCATCTGATTTAAAAGTGAAATCTATTTCTCTGTTGTTCTGGTAAATTGGGGCCAAGTAAGTTCTCCTTCCCTCTCAGCACTGAGACCCAGATGGTGTCCCCGACAGAGGGCTGTCTTTAAGTTTGCTCCCAGGGAGCCACAGTTGTGGAAATATTGGTCCGTGTCATCATTTCTTGTGTTGTAGTGACACAGAAAAGGCAGCATGGAAATAAAGTGTTGGGCCCATGGAATTAAAGAAAGCGAAGAGGTAAGATCCAAACTTACAGAGAGATTTCCAATATAAAGCAGTAAATGTTTAGTATCAACAATAGGTGAAGAATTAAAAGGCATGAAATCACAAGAGAAAAATAAAGAACCCAATAGAAAAAGGTGAATGACAGAAATAGACATCTTATGGTAAAGGAAACACAAATGATGGGTATACACAGGAAAACATGCTCAGTTTCACAACTAGGCAGGAAATGTAAATTAAACCCAAATGGGAACCTTTTCATACCCATCAGATTGGCAAAGAGTTGAGAAGACTGACGACTCAGGTGCTGATGTGGATGCAGAGAGGGGTTAGCTCATACACCCTGGGGCGTGTGTGCATTGGTACCGCAACACTGGAAAGTGACTTGGCTTTATAGATTCACCTATTAACTCTATTCCTGGACGTATTCCTAAGTAATTTCTGGCATATCTAGAAGAATGGTCAAGAATAGCACTCTATTTGTAAGCAAAAACCTACCCAGACAACCCAAAGTTCATCAATAGACAAATTTAAGAACAGATAGTGATGGTAGAGTATTATAGAGCAGTGAAAATGAATTCATTGGAACTATATATATTATGCAGAATCTCACAAATAATACTGAGTGAAGCAGAAGCAAAAAACAAGTTTTACAAGACTGCATACAGTGCAATGGCATTTTCTAAAGCCCAAATCAAACAATACATTATTTAAGAGTAGTCGATTCTTGTTTTTCTCAGTAGTTAAGTTCTTTGTAAGGTTACAGTGAACATTTCCTTATTTATGAGCTTATGAAACTTTTTTATGAGTTAATTATTTTATTGCTTTTCCTTTGCTTAGTTTTATATGTGTGTATTTATATTTTAAAACTTTAAATTTCAACAGACCTGTCATATATTATTTTATTTTCCAAACACCCATAATATCTGATGCTAGTTCATTTTTCCCCTGGGAGACCTTCTCTGAACATTTCCCCACCCCTTATGGTTTACCAATCTTTCTGAATGCATAATTAATTAAGCATTGTAACTCATGGGTTGATGCAATAATTTTCTTTTCTTTTTTCTCTTGTATTTGAGTTTTAATGCAACTTTCTGGGAAATTCTTGTTTTTGCTCAGGCAGCCACAACAAAACACCATAAACTAGGTGCTCAAATAACAGGAACTTATTTCTCCCAGTCCTAAAAGCTGGGGGGTCCATGATTAAGGTGGTCTGCTGCCAGCCTACTCAGTCCCCTGGCAGAGGCCCTGTCCCTGGCTGGCACTCAGTCCTCACATGGCAGAGAGGAAACTCGGATGTCTCTCCCTTCTTATAAGAGCATTGATTTCATCCTGGGGGCCCCCTCCTAGTGACCATATGTAACCCTAATTACTTCCTAAAGGCCCCACCTCCTAATAACATCACACTGGGGGGCTGGAGCTTCAACATAGGACTTTGGGGGGGCTGGTGATGACATAAACGTTCATCCTGTAACAATTGTCTTGACTTCTTTGTATAAACTTCTACTGAATTTTACATTTTAGCTCGCTTATTTCTAATTTCCAGGACCTGTTCTTTGATTGCCTTTCCCTTGTCTCCTTGTTTGCCTTTCCCTTGTCTCCTTGTTTGCGATGGCTGATATTGTGTTTTCTTGATGAGGGGATTTTTTAACTCCTAGGCCTGGAGGTTAGACTGTAATGAGATGCAGAACAAGGGTCCCCTGAAAATAGGAGAACGATGCCCACAGTCCTTGATTGGGGGGAGGGGGGCAGTAGCTGAGAGGGCATTTAAGATACATTGCACAACAATTGCAAGTTGATAGCTGTGCCTTCCTGAAGGGAAGAGGGCTGGTGCCCAGGGTGAATCATGTATGTGACTAGGGAACGCTCAGGGACTCATGACACAGACTGGGGAGCTCATATAGTGTCTGCTTGAGAGACTGGGCGTAGATGCCCATCCCAAATGTCCATGCGTCCCTGGGAACTTTTTCCCTCACTAAAGATGGCAGCCAAAACAAGGTAAAAGATACGGGGGAGCTGGCAAAAATGGCACATCATAGTGTTACAGGAAAATGAAGCAACCAGACACTGAGGGATTCTGGAGTACGAGGTTTATTAACGTGCACGGGCCCAGAGGAGTCAGCCTCCAAATTCTGAGCCCCGAACAAAGGATTCTTGGGGTTTATATAGTCTATGGGGTCTTCCTACGTAGCAAAGCGAGATACAGAAGCGGAATGCAGAAGTTAGTTCTAGCTACGTGGCAGAAGCAGAGTACAAAGGCTAAATGTGAAAATTAGTTCTAACTGCGGGGGTGCTAGCCCTAGCCCTTGTGAATATCCTGCTGTTTGCTTTTCCCAGACAGCCTTGGGGTTTGGGTGAACAAAGGTTTTCCAAAACTTCCCACATCAATAGGAGGGCTTGGATATGAGGTCACACAGGAAGTTCTGGGCCTAGCACTTAAATGAGGGCAGGCTGAAAGAGAAGAAGGAGAAGTCGCATGGTCTGGAGTAAGAGAAGAGGTACTTCTGCTTCTCTGAGGGACGTAGAGAGAAGCCACTATCTTGGGACATGTGCCCCTCCGGACTTCACCCAGGGTAACACAGCACATATTTTCCTGAACCACTCCATGGGGGCTGAGGACAATACACCTCAGATGCTGGAGAGAGCGGCTGCGAGAGGATGGAGACTCTGAAACCCACAGGGCACCTTCCAGAGAGGGTGCAGATCTGTTCGTGTGACTGGCTTAAGGGCAGATAAGGACATGGCGGACTTCTGGGCGTGGTTTTGGCTTGTAGTCTTTGGAGAGCAGGGGAGATGCTGGGTCTTATGGGAAAGGAGGGCTCTGAGCAGGAGTGCTCTGCCCACCCCCCCCCCCAAAGGTTGGAACCCTGTTAATAAAAACCTGTTTTCTGTAACATTAATTGTTGGGTCGTATGTGAAGGTGCCAAGTGGCCAAGCCCCGGTTTGCTCTGTACACCACCAGCGACTCTGCTCACATTCCACTGGGAAAAACTAGTCATATGGCTCCTTGGGGCATCTCTCTGGGAGTAAGAGGCTAGACAATGTAGTCTAGTGGGGTGTCCCGGAAGACATCCAGAATGTCCAGAGGAGAACATTAGTAGCTTCTTTCACAGGGGCCTGCCTTCTTATCTGGTGATCTCTGGTTCTCTGCTCATTTTTAATAGTGAAGCACTGAAAACCTTGTTGCAAGCTCTCTATGAAGAGGCAGGACGTATCCTTTCTTAACTGACGATGATGTAGTCAGTTGGGGGGAACCTCAACTATCAGTGTCGGAAGCTGTTTACTACCGAGGCAGGAGTTAATTTTGTAGGAAAGACTCCCCCACTCATCTGTCTGGGGGTGCATGCTTGAAGCAGAAGGAAAAGAGAGCTCGGGCTCAAAATTCCACTAATTCTCCTGAATTGTTGTTCATGCTTCACTCCCACCCATCCTGTGTCTGATGTCTCTGAGTCAAGATTCTTCTGGTTCAGTTTATCCATAGACTGCATCTCACTCCGTCCTTCAGTAATGCCTGGCGACATGGAGTCCAAGCCCGCCTGTGTTCTGCAGCGTAAATGGTCTTTGGGATGTTTACCACAGCAGTCCTTGGGATTGTAGCCTCCTGTGCTCTGAAAATTCATTACATTGCTTCTCTGTCTGCTAGCCTCTAAAAAATTTGTTTCAGTCTCTTATTCGTTCTTGTCTATCTCTCTTTCTCTTTGTCCCTATAACCACGTACTTCTAAAATTCTTTTACTCTTGTTTTAAATGGGTTTTGGAAGGGAGATGATATAAATACATGTGGTCAATATGCCATATTCGGTGAGAAGTCTATAAGTAATTTTGGTAATGGATGACTCTATAATGCTTAGTATAAAAAAGACAAATAGCCCTGGCTGGTGTGGCTCAGTGGATTGAGCACGGGCCTGTGAAGCAAAGGGTTGCTGGTTCAATTCCCAGTCAGGGCACATGCCAGGGTTGCAGGCCAGTTCCCAGCAGGGGACACGTGAAAGGCAACCACACATTGATGTTTCTCTCCCACTCTTTCTCCTTCCCTTCCCCTCTCTCTAAAAATAAATAAATAAAATATGAATAAAAAAGACAAATAAGCTGTATCAATAGTGTGATTTCAAGCATATTATAATGGATAGAAAAATATAGGAAGGAAAATATCAGAATATGAATTTTTATTGCTTACACCCGAAAGACTGAATAA